ACACTGTAAGGGGGAAAAAAACAAAAAAGGAGACGCAGGGCTATCTCCATATGTTACTCAACAAGGTAGACTTTTCACCCTTTTGGGGGAATATATGAGACAATTATAATCATGCCAATCACTTTCCTAGTCTTTCCTCCAGTGTAAAAAGAGATCGTGGATGTTTAAATTTTAAAAATAAAAAATAAAAAATAGCTATGTATAAATTTTACTTTTGTCAGCTTCCTGGATGGATGACTTGAATTAGTTAACTAATCTCTGATTACGTTTCCTATCTACACAATCAAGAAAATGATATCTTTCTAACATGGTTATAGCAAAGTTAGTGTTGTTGTTGTTGTTATTGTTTTTTAATTACATAGAATAATTAGTGTATTTATCTTTACCTTCAGTTGCTGGTGCCCTGGGCAGTGATCATAGAAAATGCAGACACAGCTCAGCTCATAGAAGCTTCCAACCTGGAACTACACATAGTCCCAGGCAAACAGTTGACTCCTTTGGTGAAAGTAAGAGGTAAGATATGGAATGACTTTATTTTTTAATAAACTTTATTTCTATTTTCTAATTACAAAGTAGTCATTTAACACATACATTATTTTAAATTTAGAAGACAGAAAACTAATAGTGGAACAAGAAACCATGTAATCTCATGATTAAAATGCAACCCTTATCTCTGATTACACATTTTTGTCAAGTGGAAAGATTTTAACTGACTTTTCTCTCACTACTGACATGTTCATATTTATATTTATTACATTTACAGAAATTATAAATAAATACTAAACCAGCAAACAAAATGGGATAATATTGCATATATTGTTGATTTATAACAATACACTTTTGGACTGAATATCTAATGGATACATTTCCATGATTTTTAATGGATCATTGTATTTTAGTGTATAGATATACTATATCTACTTCTGAAGATTTAATTAACTATTTTTTATTATTTTATTTTCCTAAGCATTGCCCAAAGAATCTGTTTACTTATATGTACAATTTATTTAGCTAAACCCTAGAATTGAAGAACCTTATACAAAGCTTTACGCCATTTTAAGACTTTTAAATTTTAGTTCGAACTGTCCTTTAAAAGCACTAGCATAAATGTTAATGTTAATACAAGCGATGTAAGAAAATGTTTGCTTCATATACTCGTGCCATTGTTAAATATTATCAGTCTTTTAAATCCTGAATTTTGTCAATGTGACAGCCCAAGATAAAAATTACAAGAACAGGAACACCAATAGAGAACAATGCTCTTCGTGTTCTTGGAAAATTATGTGTATTATTCACATGTATGGCTTCCTTGGGTTACCTGTTCCAATTCTTTCTTCTTTGTCTTTTTTATCTTTTCACACCTCTTACCTGCTTTTACAATAGATAATATTATATAAAATATAAAATATCAATCTTTTATCATCTGCAATTATTGCATCTTTCTAGTTTGCCATTGATATTAATTTTGCTTGTTTCTCTTCATTACCATTAAGTAGTTTTTAACTTTTATTTAAAGAATCTTATTTTACATCTTCAACCATGTTTCAAAAGTTTTCCCTGAATCAAAATTTCAGTACACTTTTTTATGTTTTAGCAATTTAATCCAGCAGTTTTCAACTGATGTGCCATGTGTGCTGCAAGAATTATTAAAACATGCAATACCTATTTACTCCGGGGCACTGACCCCATTTCCCTTAGACTGTCAAATTAAAAAAAAAATGACAGTAGTCAACACAACAATAGCTGTCCCATGTAAATGAATCGATATTATACCTATTTTTTGTTAGATTGGCAAAAAATATATTTTTTGGTGTGCTGCAGAATTTTAGTAATTAGTTTACATGTGCCATGAGATGAAAAAGGTTGAAAATCACTGATGTGATCAATCATGCCAATTAGTAAAGCCTCCAGAGAAGTGCAAAAGAACAGGGCTCAGAGGCTCATGGGTTGGTGAGGGGGGGAAGTGTTAACAGGGCCATGGCCCGGGGTGGGGGGGGCGCTCTCCTTCCCCCACCCCTTGTCCGGTGCATGGCTTCCGCTGGCTGTGCCGGAGTTATATATCCTTTTATAATAAGCTTGTAACTTAGTAAGTAAACCCTTTTCCTGAGTTTTGTGAGCCCCTCTAGCAAATTAATTGAACTCAAGGAGGGGGTTATGGGAACCTCTGATTTATGCCTTGTCAGTGGGATGCACAGGTAACAACAAACTTTTCGTTAGCATCTGGCGTGAGGATCAGGGACAGTCTTGTGGGACTGAGCCCTGAACCTGCGGGACCTGATGCTGTCCTAGGCAGAGAGTGTCAGAACTGAGTGAAAACGCGGGCACACAGCTGGCGTCTGAGAATTCTTGGCGGGGAAGCCTCCGCACATTTGGTGACCAGAGTGCTCAGGAAGAGTATTGGAAATGAAGGGTAGTATTGTGAGTTATGAAGGGAAAAAAAGTTTTTTCCTTACAGTTGAATAGTCTTTAGTATCCATTTTTTTCTCTATTGGCTTCTTATCTGTACCTCCTTTGATTATTTCTGGTGGTAGCTTTAGGGTTAGTAATACACATACTTAATTTATCCGTATAGTAGGGTCGACACTTTACCAGGTCACACATCACCCTTCACTGCTCACAGTTACTATATCACAATTCTTTCTTCCTGCTCCCCTCCACTTTTCTTATTACGTTTCACACTTTAAAACCTCCATTTGTGAAATGTAATAACTTACAGTATTATCGTTTAATCCACCTACCTCTTTCCCGTTGTGCTATTACTATCATACCCTATACTTCTCTATGCATTATTAACCCCGCATTAAAAATTCTATCATTTTGACTTTTATAGGCATTTTCTTTTAAGGAATAAATACATTTCTTTCTACGTTTATCCACTTCGTTATTATTTGCAGAGCTGTTCGTTCCTTTCTGAGTTTCTATCTGGCATCTTTTCCCTCCAGCCTGAGGCCACGCTATTGCATTTCTTGTAGTTCAATGCAGCCAAATACAAATTTTCTCTGATTTGATTTGTTTGTAAACGTTTTTAGTTTACTCTTGTTTCTGAGAGGTATTTTTGCTAAATAATGAATTCTGGGTTGATGAACTTTTTTCTTATAGCACTTTAAAGATATCTTTTCACCATCCCCTGCCTTGCATTTGTTTCTAATGAGAAGTTACATATAACTCACATTTTTATTTCCCCTCAGGATTGTGGGGGTTTTTTCTCTTCTGACTGAGTTCAAGATGTAAGCTTTCCATTAGCTTACAGAAACTTGATTAGCAGTGTCCGCTATTGGCTCTGTTTGCATTGCTGCACTGGAGTTATGAGACCTTCCCCAGGTCTGGGCAACCCGTGGGCTTTCCTTGAGAACACCCTTTCTCTTGGGATTACTCTCTTGTGTGCCAGTTGTCCACTGCCTGGAACAGTTGCCTTGTACAACTTGTACACCGAATTGTTGATTACAGCAAGAAGACTAGTGTGGTACCATTGTCTACATCACAGCCAGAAGCAGAAATCTCTGCACATAAATAGTTTAATGCATTTCCTTCAACCACTTTTCTTCCATGAACTTTAATAAATATGTGATTGATGCATACATAATTTTTACTTTATCTATTCATACCTAACACTGGAAGCATTAGCCAACATTGCTTAAGACAAGTATAAACCATCTGAAACACTTAATAGAAACAAATAGTGGTATTTGCAATAATTTTCTATAATTATAACAATTCAGAACTGTAGAAATCTTCCACTTCATAACTAATCCCGTCTTATGTTGTAATTATTATTCTTCGAGACTTTTGTGATGTAATCCTTGCTGTCAGTCACCCTGAAGCATGATGCATACAGGTGTCTCAGGAAAAGCAGCTCTGTTACAGATCAATGCTCATAATCTGGAGCGGCAAATGTGATTTATCACTAGTAATGACAAATACGACACTCATCAGCAACAGTAGGTAATGGAAAGTGAAGGGATATGTGGCAGATAAATGTGTATCCCTCTCTGCTCGTGTCCTTATTTTAATGCATTTGCAACCTTCTCTGAATTTTTTAAATGTAGAATCTCCACTAAGGATTTCTGTGGCTTTGCTGAATTAATAACAGACTTTAATATGACCATTCCATTAATATAGTTTATGCTTTTAGGTTCCTCTTTTTATTTCAGATATTGACATTAGTAACAGAATTCAGACACTGAACCAAAGTTATATTCCTTAGTGTATTTCACATGAGGTTTATATTTGAAACCACTGTTTGTCACCTCTGTCTACAACGGTGGAACACACAGGGCACGTCTCTCCATATCTGAAGAAACATGCCTTAGGGTAGAGTTTGGATGCAATTCCAGTAAACTCTCCCGCTGCTCCCAACTGGCAGCAACTGGTAATAATGCGCTAGCAAGCATTTAACAACTGCAACTCCAGGAAGGAAT